ACGCAAATTAATATATAATAAATAAATGTAATGTAATAAGATCAAAACATATAAATTACCTGCGGCTTCAAGAATTTGCTTCACTGATAAAATATCACCGTTGGCTCTTGGATTTTCTATAGCCTACGTTTTAATTATAAATCAGTTAACAAACAAAATAAATGTGCTAAAATACAATTCAAAAGATAAATTCTTACTCTAGTTGCGTTAGTCCATGATCTTTTCGATTTACCATCAATAGCAGAAATTAATTCACCATCCATAAGCCCATTACGAAGTGAAATAGAAGTAGCTTTTCCTCTAATAGAATGTTCAATCATAACCTGTTTATGGTTTTTTTTTTAAAAAAAAAAAATTATAAATAAAAAATTTCATAATAAAGTTCTCAAATATATGAGCACTTACAGAATAATTTTCAATATCTGCAATGTAGGATTTATTCATTATAATTTGACCAGTACTGGTCTTAGCATTAAAAATACAAGGATCTCCAGGTGATGATGGCAAAAGGAAATTACAATTTTCAGGTGCTGTATATTTTGTTACAGTTGCCCTTGTGGTAAAAAATGCTACACCTGCTGCGTCATTTGGAAAATGTATTTCATCTGCTCCCCAGTAAACACAAGGCAATTCCCCTCCTATACAATATGATGGATTTGTAAATGTTGGAGGTGCTTGCAGCGATATTCTAACTGCGCCAGGTACCGGGGGTTCCTATAATGAATCACGTGAGTTACGTTCTACGACTTTTTTTTTTTTTAATACTACTTTTCAAAATTGTTCACCTTTTTTAGATATAATTGAGAATTTAAGATACTAAATAGAATATAAATAAAGATGGCAAGTTGGAATACTCGATGAAGTATACCCAATCTTCGACTATAATAAAAAGTAAAAAAACAATTCAATAAGAACCCAAGGAATATATATATATATTTAAATAAGTTCACGAAATGAATTTATGTTGTACATACTCTTTGACCTTAACAATCTTGAAAGTTTCGTATCTATTAAATAAAAAAAAATATGTAAATATATATTTTTTAATTATAAATGGTCGTAAAATTCATATTTAAATAATGATTAATGATGAATCAATTTACCCAAAAAGTTCATCCAAATCGAATTTTTTCGCCATTGTAAAAAATCAACTGAAAAATGTTTGTTAAAAGATAAAAAAATTGACGAGAGAGAGAAAAAATGTTTTTAAGGAGTAAACGGCAAATTCACACATATATATATTTTTATCCTTTCCCAATTATATCAAACAAGTTCAATTTAGAATAGATCAATTATTTAAGTGAAACCGTTTCATGCACTTCACTAATTCTAAAATTTATTGTGCACAACAATGATCATATTAATTTTTAAATACAAAGAATTTGAAATTTGGTTGAATCTTGTTAAAAACATCTTTTTATTACTAGACACAAATATAAATCTTACCAATAGTTAAAATGCTTAAAAATGCTTGAGAAAATTAAAAATAGTCCAACAAAAAAATTTTTTATCATAATTGAATTGTGTTTCATCAAAAAAAAAACACTATCGAATAAGGATCATTAGTATTTTTGAATAAATCATGTGAACAAAGAAATATCAGTTGAATCAAATGTTTCACACCACCAATGTTTTCAAAACTTCAAATGATTCTAAATGATTCGTTTCTTTTTTAAAATATGATCGGCAATGCTCAAATATTAACGATATACCTTGTTTACGTGACAATAATTGAAATTCAATAATTCATTCTGTATCTGTAAATTTGATTTTTTATTGGTAACATTTCATCAAACCACACAAAAGAATTTCGAAGTAAAGATATAGTTTTATTAGAGGTCAACTTTTCACTTATTAATTTATTTTATCACACAAAATTTTACCTTATAGCGCCACAAAATAATTATATCTTATCCATGTGTCTCAAGGTAAGTGGTAATTGATATAGATACTTATGAAATGCGTTAAAAATGGACATTCGGAATATTGTGAATTTTCGGGATTTTAGTTTTTGGCATTTTGGCATCGGGATTATTTATGTACCTTCGGACTTTCGAGCTTCGGATTTTGAATGGCACTATACAAATTGGGCAACACCTTTATTATGACTGATTTTTAAATAGATCAAACTTGATTATTTTTATCCAAACAATTATGCAATACATATAAAAGGATGCCTTTAGATATCTTTTTTTTTTTTTTTTATAGTATTATAAAATTTAACATAAAGAATAAATTTAATTATTACAATTTTTATAATTGATTAAGAAATTTAACTTTTTTAGTAGTAAATTAATTTAATTAATTTAAATTTAAAGAAGTTTTTAATAATAAATTTTTAAAACTTATTTTAAAAATTAAATTATTTTAAAAAAAAAAAAAACTTCTTAACCACCTTAAAATATCTTTTAATAAAATTGATAAAATATATATTAAAATAAAAAATTATAATTTTCTGCTGCAATTTACTGCTACTATTTTTATGTAATTGATATTTTATTTTTAGCATTATTATTAAAAATTCAATATAAATTTTGTTATTCTTACTTGTAATATGAGATTAGGATTAGGGTTAAGGTTAAGTTAAGGTAATTAAGGTTAGTTTATTTAAAACTTTATGTTATATTCATATAAAATTATATGCTAATGCAAATGATTTTAATATAATATTAACCAATCTTAATGATATCATATTTATTAAAAATTATGAAAATAATTGTATTATTAGCAATTTACTATTTTTTATTACAAATTCTCTATTTTTTTTAACAATTTTATATACTAAAATTATATTATAATTAATTTCATTCTTTTATTTTCTAATTTCTCTATCATTTATTACTAAGATATTAATATACATTTTTAATTAACTTCTTTAAAAAATTATAGCATAACTTTGTAAAATATGCTATGTATTTTTATAATGAATTTACATTTTTATTAATATTCTAATATATTAGAATATAAAGAGTATAAAATTATAAAATTAGAAATAATTAGATTTTTTAAATTTAGTGATACCTTCATAAATTATTTTTATTATGATTAAACTTTTATCAAATTTTGTGTTTGACTAAACCTTTAATTAAACTTTTAGTAAATGACTAAATGACTAAGCTTAAAC